AATGATGAAAACAGTGTTGTCGTTGTTGTAATGGAGAAGGTGGTGATGATGATGATGTTAAGGGTAATGTAAATGATGAAAACAGTGTTGTTGTTGTAATGGAGAAGGTGATGATGATGATGATGTTAAGGGTATTGTAAATGATGAAAATGTTGATGTAAAGGAGAAGGTGGTGATGATGAGGAGGAGGAGGAGGAGGAGGATAAATGATGATGAGCATAATGTTGATGATGACGAAGGCGTTAATAATAAGATTCAATATTGCTGATGTCGCTATAGTGAGGTGGTTGTGTGATAATGGCGGCTGTGTTAATAATTAGACTGACGATGATGATAATCCCCAAATCACTCTATGGGTAGCCTTATGAAGRTGGGTTGAAAAAACAGTTGGGTTTTCCATCGACCATGAAGTTACCCACCAGCTAGCCCACGGAGGGTTCAGAAAAAAACCTCTGCTCTCAGGGTACCATGAAGTGTTAAATCCGATTAGATTTAAATTACATTTAGATTAGATAGGTTAATGATACTATTCTAGTGATGCTATTCTAGTGCTAGTTCGGGACGGACCATTAGATAATTGAGGAAATYCCACAACAAAATATCGAGCAAGCATTTCACCTATGAAACAAATATCGCGCAAACTCTCCTTTCAGCAAAGGAGTATCGAGCAAACACAAAAAAGTGCAAGGGTTGTTACAAAAAATTAAATTACTTGCAACATAAATCCCTGCAGCCTCCCCCACAACTATCTAATGGTCCATCCCTTGTCATTATTTTGTTGTTGACGTTGTCTAAAGCTAGGTTTTTTTTTTTGTTTTTTTTTTGTTTGTTTTTCAGCTTCCTTTTTCCTTATTTAAAATCAATTAGTCAAGGGGCATTTAAGTTTTCCCCCAAATCACTGCTAGTCTGCATTCGGCAGATTCTAACATTACGTCGAAGGTCAATATTCAAGATCCAAAACGTTCTCAAAACAAACATCCGAATGACCTACGGCAAAACATACGTGATTCCCTAGTGATCAAACTGTTAACCCATACCTCAAACTGAAGATCTGATTACTGTCTTCTTAATGAATCAATAAACGCGTCTTACACCGTCTGCTGATTTCGTAATGAGTGATTGTTTCCTATAATTAGTGCAGTTTTCGTTACAGTATAACAGCGACATTGAAATGTCAAAGCAGGAAGTGTTATACTAGCATGGAGAGAGGTTCTGTGAACCTAACGCAATGGCCGGCCAACRAACGCGAGTTGGCGACAAAAGCCTTCCTTTTTTGAGAAACTTAGTTTTTGCATATGTTGTAGTTAGTTACAAAGGGATTATACGTTTTTTTAAAAGTAGCCTTGATGCATATCAAAATCATATCCCTTGCGGTTTAGATATTGATGGTTTTCAACCATTCCCAAGAGAATTAAATAACAAAAGACACGGCGGCCATGTTGGAGGATAAAACAAAAGAATTCATTGACAATTCTTGTTAAGTTCCTCCAACATGGCCGCCGTGAAAACCATCAATACCACGGTTTTATGCATGTGTTGAGCGGTGCAGAGCGACCCTGCTCTCCATGTACGTACCGCGTCAAGATATCGAATCTTATTGCTATCGTGTCTGGGGATTTAAAACAAAGGGGTCATTCATTACAACGTTAAAGACCTACTCGGTGAACCACGAGTGGTTTTCGATCACTACCTCCCCTCCCCCCCCCCTTTCTATTTAGATTGCACCTCTTAGAAGTGAAGAAGTAAAGCATTGAGAAAAGTGCTCCCCGCATTTAATATTTATCTAAGATAAAATTCCTTGGAGAAGAAATATGGAACATCTCTGTATATCAAATAAGTGGGTCTTCTATTAAAAATATGTTAAAATGTTAATGACATTTTCATTCTTGAGGCAGTTAACAAGCCGTACCAATATATCTTATTTTTGCAGCGTCTTGGTTATGCAACTCTATAACAGTCTCCAAAATGTTAAGGCTCTGGATATTGTATTGCAATCAAAGATGCTTTAGGACTTAGTGATCCAGCACACTAGCCGGATAGCTTATCAACTTATCAAGTTCCGACATAATGAGTTCAACAAAGATAGGTCTTGTCATCATGTGTAGGAATGTCTATACTTAAAAAAGCGTTCTGCAGTCTCGGAGGTGATTGCTTTATTAAAGGAAATTCTATTCTCTCTTCAGATGCATTTACGGTGAAGATACATAAGTAATTGGAAGTCTCACCTTGTTGTTGAAGTGGCGGTTTTGGTACACGAGAGGTACTGGCCAAAACTACCAGTAAAAATGCAATCACAAAAGCGAGAAACACTCTCCTTGTAGCGCTAGCAGACATGGTTCTAGTTCCAGCGATCAAGATCTAAAGCTGCAACTCCCTCTCTGTTCCAGTTGCTAGCTCTCGTCAGTACGTGGTCGAGGAGTTGGGGAATTCAGTGTTATTGCAAGGAATGTCCCCTACCAGTTTGTTGTTGGATTAATTAGTTCTACTACGGGGGAATGGCATTGTTATTGTCATTCATTGGGATAAAGGGTCAATGGTTCAAAGTCATTAGGCTCTCTTAAGCGTCGAAATGTCAATGAAAAACATATCCAACTGGTGTGAAATAATGATATTACTGTACGTTGATTTTACGTCTGCGTTGCCCCGCATGAGATGAGCAGGGAAAAAATATTTTTCGTTCCATAAGCATAGCGAGTCTCTCTCAAGCAGACATACAGTAACGTCACGTTGTTCAGTATTTGTGTAAAGAATGCCTTAGGCTATTACCTGTTTACACTCTTAACTTCATGAATGATTTTCAAGATGCGTGAAAAAATATATGGCCTAAAAACTGACCATACCTATGGGCGATATAAAGCAGTCCAGAGGACCATGGGCTATATATACTTATTATTTAATAAGTTAGTCACAAAAACCCAGAAAGCTGAGAACGCCTAGGAACATGAGAAACTTTTTATGTAAAACAAGTAAAGCTTTTGATACAAACCGCAGCGAGGAGCTCAGAAAAGGTGAGACTAAAACCTACTAGAGATGAACAAGTCCATCAACAGTTATATGGAGCAGTTGAAACATGTAAAATGCATCTACCCATAATCCTTGTCGGCCTAAGCTTTATAGCTTTTCAGGTGACTAACTTCTTTGAAATAAATACTTTTTGCCAACAGCCATTGAAGATCCCATATTTTCAAAATAATAGTGTTTTTTTTTAAACAGGGATGGTACTGGGAAAATAGCTTCATATATTGGAGCCATTGATGGAAAATTTTAAAACGTTCTTAAGAAGAATAGCTGATCCTGACGAAAGTTTATTAAGTAATATTTCAAAGCCGACAATGAGGACTGGACGGGATTTCAAGTCTAAGCAATTATAGTTCCAGTCCAGTTTCAGACTGGAACTAACTGCGCGGACTTGAAATCCCGTCCAGTCCGATATTGGAGGCTTTGAAATGACTTCTCATCTCATTAATTATTCGACTTCGAGTAACTGGAACAAAATTAATTCAGTCCTAGGACTGAATTAATTTTGTTCCAGTTACTCCAGACTGAATGCATTCCTTTCACAGCACTTTACCAGGTTTCAAGTAACATCATGTGACCCAAAAATAGCCCATTGATTGGCTGGTTTACTCATGAATTATTAATGAGTATGAGAAGTATTAAAGAGGACCCTTTCATAATTAAAAGTAAAAGATGTCAATATGGTCCAACATCGATCAAAACCATGGGCTATAGTCCATGCTTTTTGCCCGAAAATAGCTAATTTTGCATTCTTCATGCTGATCATTAGTAATCTTAATCTCCAATATCATCGTTAAATAGTCAATATAATTTATTTCATATCATCAATTGATACTTGAGCCATCCTTTTTACAATAATATTTTCTTTTTTTTTTTTTCTTTTTTCTTTTTCTTTTTCTTATTGTCTGATTAATTATATCTTCGTTCGATCTCTTGTTAATATAAACATGTCCAGATCTTTTATGTTATATTTATAGACCCAATTTTCTATTGCTTAAAACTGTATGTATAGCTATCTATCTCGGCTAGCCCTTGTGGTTATTATAGATAGCATGTACCTAGCTTTATTTAGGTTTTTAATATATTGTATTTATTTTTACTTGTAAATATCATATAGCACAGCAGGTACTAAATAAACACGATTGTTGTTAATGTTGTTATTG